AAAATGAATTACACCAAAAACAATAAAAATGTAAGGGTAAAACATAAGAATGACATAAAGTAATATTTTAAAGTTGATGAAATTATAAAAAAAATGAATCAAATCCAATTTAAAATCTTGAAAATAATGACGATTCTTAAAAATTAAATGCATTTTTTCATTTTGTCAAAAATATATTTAGTTCTTTTTTAAATTTAAATTTATTTTTTATCATCAAATCTTATTTAAATTTCTTTTCAATGAATTGAAATCGTTCAAAATCTTTAATATTTTTTTTTATTTTTTATCAAAATTGTAAAACTTATCTTGATCATAATATTCTTTTAATAATAAAAATTTAACCATTTATAAAAACTTAAATTTGGTTAAATTTTACATAATTTATAATATTTTCATTTTTTTTTAATTCATTTTATAATATTAAGAATTATAACTACATATTTATTAAATTAATGATTAATAATGTTTCAATAGCAAGTATAAATAATGTACATATCTATATATGTATACGTATACTATATGTATGTGTATATAGTATGTTCCATTAACTCTGAAATATCTTTCTTATTTCGAATAATACGCGAAAATATTTCCAATAAAAGTTAAGATTTAAGAAAAACATAATATAATAATAATGATTTCTTGACAAAGATCATTTTTATTTTTTTAAATAAAATGTCTTATTTTTTTATTCTTAATTTTGATAGAATATTCTGACTATTCATTCAATTCTCAGAGTATAAAAGTATTAAGATTATAAATTTTGTACTAAAATTTAAAATTTCTAAAATATTCTAAAATATTTGACTTTATTCATTGCATATATTTCAATAATTGCATTATTTTGTGGAATTATTGTCACACAATATTTTTCAATGTTTTTCCACAAGATAAAACTTGGAAACTTAGCTGGTTAATTGATCCAACGCGTTATCAAAAACTAGCGAGTTTTTTTTAAAATAATTTAATTTATATATAATCTGTTTAATCATTTATTAGAATCTTTGAACAGCAATAATATCCATTATAGGTGGAGCAATCACAAATCCATCAATACCTTGAAGGCAAGGTGGAGGATGATTTGATGGCAACATGAAATGAAGCCTTTGCAACATGCACGCTACAAAGAGAAAAACTGTATTTTTTGCCAAAGTTTCACCCAAACATTTTCTGCGACCTAACAAAAAATAAATAGATATATAATTTGATTATGTAATAATATTTAATAAATTAAATATCTCTTTTAATCTATTGTCTTCTAATTTAATATCCAGATAATTTAATAATTTAAGGAAATTATTGAGAATTTAAGAAAAATTTAAAGCTGTCCAAATTAAAATTAAATTCATTACCTAATCCAAATGGCATAAGCCAAGAATCGTTAATAAAATCACCCTTTTCATCGATAAATCTTTCTGGTCGAAATACTTCAGGATCTCCCCAATGTTCTTTATCCATGTGAACACTTTTAAGATTTGCTAACAAAGTATAATTTTTTTTTATTTCGAAACCTAGTAAAGTGGAATCCTTTACTGCTCGATGCGGAATAGAAGTTGGTCCAATATTGGCTAATCTTGATACTTCTGCTATAACTGCTTTTAAATATGGTAATCTGTAAAAGATCATGGTAAAAGTAAAAAGAGAAAATTTGTTGCAATTTTAAATATTTATTTTAAAATCTAATTATTGCCATAGCCACTTCTTAAAATAGTTTCAAACTTTTATCATTGAATTACATATTTTTTAATATTAATGTGATATTTTCTATCAATATATACTTTATATAAAATAAAATTAATACAATAATATTAATTTTTGCTTTCAGATTATTCAAACTAAGAAATATTATGGGCGTTTATCTAAATTAATAATTTTAAAACAAAAATATAGATGAATAAATGACATGAATAAATTAATTAATCATCTTTATCGCTGAGAAAAGAATATATATATTGATTTTAAATTTTTGTTCAATAAAAGTATATATGTATATGTTATTCTATCATGAAAATAAGATATATACATAATAATATTTTGAATTTTCAAATTGATTAATATTTGTCAACAATACTTTGGAAGGAAACAGACAAGGAATCATTTATTCATTCGTTCTTATGTTCCTAGTCATAGTTCATCTCAACGATATTTCCATTTCCAATTAGAAATAATTTTTAAAAAAATTTCCATTGTTGTATTAAATGATTTTTTAAGAATCTTCATTGATTGAAAATATCTTCAATTAATTTTAAGAAAAAAATTTATCGGTAAGTATAAAAAAATTGATACATAAAACATTACTGTAATAAAATTTTATACGATAATTCATATTTAATTAGCAACATGGATGCCATAATTGCTAGAAATATAATCGAATTAGCTGGAGCTATGATGGAAGAATTCGAAACAACATGGAACAACATAAATAAAAAAGAAATTAACCAACTCAATTATCATACAATAAAATTACATTTGTCGCATATAAAAGAACAACGAGATTTGCTTATCAATGCTAATACATTCAATTCTTATCATTTTCCAAATCTTCTCGTTATAAGAAAGAACTTCATGCAAAAATATATTCCAATTGTGGCTGCAGCAGACTTGTACATGATACAGTACAAAAACTTCGACATAGAGTAAAAATAAGTAAGTAAATTTTATATCGAAAACAAATTATTGTGTACTAATATTAAATTTTAATTTGCAGAATCTTGATAATAATAAAAGTAACAATTCTTTAAAATTAAAAAATAGTTAAATTTCATTTTTTTTTTTTTTATTATTAAATTTAGAGATTCATTTCTTCTTAAAGATGTTATGAAAAATATTAAATTGCTCGAAAAATATTTTCGTTTTATTAAAATCGTTTCATCATTTTATTCATTTTTACATGTACATATATTAATTTATAACTTTTTTATATATTTTTACTTCGATTCTTGCGTTAGATTAATAGCACATGATTTTATTATTTGCTCTCTTTTTAATTTTGTTATATAGATATATTTTACATATAAAAATAAAAACTAAAATACAAATCTACAGATATAAAATTTTGTCATTACACATAGAATAGAACTATAAAACAATATTGTTTTCAACGTATGTACTTTATCTAAGTTAAAATAAAATCCTTTAAAATTTTTAATACTTTTTATTTTTTAATAAAATAAGGATTTATAATTAATTTCTAGAATATTAATATATTCGTGGAATATACCTTTCGATTGTAGAGATTAAAACAAATACAAAAATTTATATATAAAAATGTCGGTTGAGGCTTATTTATTAAATTATAAGCAATTTAAATTCGCGTTACATGAAATGAAGCGGCAATAGAATCAATACAGTAGTGAAACGAAGATGGAACTATCTCATTTTCTTTCATAATCTCGTTTCATAATCTAAATTTTAATTATAATTTAATAAACAAATCTTAACCGATAATTTTGTATATCGACTTTTATACTTCGACCTTTAGAATCAATTTTTTATTTTTGTTTAATATATAAAGTACGTAAAAAAAGAAGAAATAAATATTTTAATATAAATAAATTAACTAATAAAAGAAAATAAAAAATGAAATATTAATTGTAATATTATTTTAAATTATATCATGTCATTATTATTTTATTTTATTTTATGTGAAAATAGATTCTTTAATGCAATTATCCATGACTGATTACATGTATTACTGTTTTTAAAGGAATATAAGTGTTGTAATATATCTTACCGGTCTTTGTCGCTAAGAGAAGGATAAATATCTTTGTTTATCATTCTACTGATTTCATCGTACACCTTAAACTGTACATCTTGATGAACTACGAGAAATGCTATTATAAAACCAATGGTACTGTCAGTGGTATCAACGCCAGCAGAAAATAAATCCTTTATTACGTATAGTAGTTGATTTTCTACAAAAGAAAAAATACTTACATTATCTATACGAAGAATACAAAGAAACAAGTATTCAAAAATAATGAAAATATATATTTTATTTTATTTTTAAAAATAAAAATAAACGTATCAGTTATTTATTTGTTTATATTTATTCATCTAATGTTGCCCTTTATTTGATATTATTTGATATGATAAAAATGTGATATTTCTCTATAAGAATTCGTATTATACAGGATAATAATATATTCGTGGGATACTTTTATAAAAGGTTAATTCTAGATGATAAAAAATTGATATATAAAATATCAATTAAGACTTATTAAGTGATAAATAATTTAAATTAAGTATTGAGATGAAATAAAACAAAAATTGTGCATAATAGAGCGATCTCATGTCTAACAAAAGTAAATTTCATTTTTTGTATATCAATTTTTGTGTTCGTTTTAGAATCGATTCTCCAAAGATATCACATGAACATATTAATATCTTGCATAAAGCTTAAAGTTCCAAGTTTAAAAAATTTATTCAACTAAAGGAAATCCACTACAATTTTTTCTTTTAGTATTCTAGATACGTCTGAAACTTTAAAATTATATTAAGAACAATTTTTTAAAAAAATTTAAATATTATATAATCAATTTAACATAAGAAAAGAGTCTTATGAAGAAACCTTATTACGAAATATTTAATTTAAGAGAATTTTATTTAATTCGAAAGTTGTTTTGCTTGTTTATAAAAATCTATTGAAAGATCCATTAAGCATTATCAATCATCAGTCACTGGTAATGATCAAAAACTAGAAAATCAAACTTCACAAATAATAAATAATCAAAAATCGTATATTTTGAAAAGAATAATCTAGATAAAATGATTACCATTAAAACATGAATGAGATGAATTTTTTTTTTCTATTTCTTGTAAATAAACGTCTATGAAATTTGTACATTCTTCATTTGTTTTCTTCCACTTATGCTTTGCTATAACCTCCTGTGAAATTAATAAACAAAAAATAAAGATTTTCCATCATTATTATCTTTTGTGACTTATATAATAAATATAAATATTTTTTTTATTAAATATTTAATATTTTATTATTTTTAACAATAATAGGATATTATGTTGTAATAACATGATGTGCTTGTTTTGGTCTTTAAAATCGATCTTCCAAATATGTTCTGAAAATATAGTAACATTCTATATAAAATCTAACTTATCAAAAATGAATCTATTGCACTATATATCTATAATTTTATATTTCAATTTTGTGTTAATTATTATTACAATATTGAATAATCTATTTTAATTAATTTTTTATAACTTTTTATAAATTTACCTTAAATTTATTTCATAAAGTAAATTTTTTAAACATTGGAAAGTTTAATAATATAAAATTTAATAAATATCCGAGTAATGTATATAATAGATTAGAATAAGAAACAATTTATTAATCTTTATTAATTTATAAGTTTTTTATATTTAAATTTTTAAATGAAATTATTTGAAGTTCTGATAATTTTTAGTATGTTTTTTAATGTAAATATTGTAAATAAACAATATTTTTATAATATTTAAAAGAAAAGATGAACTAAATTATTCAATAATAAATTCAAGCAGAAAAAGAAAGATACACATTAATAAAAAATTATTATTAATAAAAAATTACTAAACTATGAATATTTATACATTTATAAAAAATTTATATGTATAAAAGTGTGAAGAAAACATATAATATATAAGAACATGTAGAATATTTAAAGTAATATATTCATTATGATATTTAAAGAATAAATCAAATCTTTATTTAAGTTCCATTTCTATAATTCAAAAATATGAATTTGATAAATAATGGTATAATCGTTTAAAAGTTACGTGCATGTATATTATCACATTTGATACGTTTTCAAAATCGATTTTTTCGAAAACGAAATTTTACAAACTTGAAAATAAATTTTTTACAACTTACCATAAAAAAATCATTTATACGTTTTTGTCGTTTTACAAACGCGGAAAAACCTGTCATATTTGGAAACAAATATCTGAGAAAAGGAAATTGATTTATAATTCCACCAGATACATTCGAACTTTTAACAATATCTTGTACTATGTTTATCGCTTCTTTTAGATTTGTACTTTCCATTCCTACGTCAAATCTAAATATTTAAAAATATTAATTAAATATATAAATTAATAATATTATCCTTCTTTATTTTAATCACGTACTTTGTACCATCCAGAAGAAGCCATAAATTGCTCAAAACAGCTACTGAAATGATAGATCGAATATTTTTAACTGTTCCATTTTTTGTTAATTCAATAATAATATTTGTCAATGCAATTGCATCGTGCTGGAGTATATGTTCCATTGAATTTTTTCCAAAACCAAACTGTTTCAGAGTCTTCAATGTAAATCTATTAAAAAGAATAGATTAAAGCACGTTATTAAATTGTTATTATATTCTTAATACTATAAAATATTTGAAAAATAAGATATTTTTAAATATTTTAATATCTGTGCAATATTTAAATTAATAACAAATTATTATATCATATTTATAAATGTTGATTTATGATATAAAAATTTTGATTATACCTTCTTTGACTATGCCAAATATCCGTATCTGTAAATAATATTCCTTGTTGCATACCACCACATCTGTATTTATATAAAAATCCACTTGGTCTGCCATCGAATTCAGATCGATTTAACATCTCTGTTACTGCAGATTTACCAGAAACTATAATCAATGGTTGGTCGAAACCTAATCTGAGGCCAACAACAGACCCATATTTTTCGGCTAATCGACACCAAGTATCAGAATAATATTTCGTTTCCTTTATTAATCTTATGATATCAAGTATATTACCAATGATAGGTAATCCTCGTGGACCTTAAATATGAATATATATCGTTAAAAATTAATATTATTTATATATGAATACATGATTGAAAATTTTCACATAAATAGTACCCGGAGGAAAATTTATAGGTCGGCTATAATCGAATAATATCTTAATTAATACAATTACGAAACACAAGATGACAAACCACATCGTTGGTTCAATAATTATACAACATCACTAATTTCTGTAATTTCTGTAAATTATAATAATCTGTAAATATGATTATTATAATTAAAAATTCTAATATAAATTTAAAGAAAATTTGAATTATTACAATTTTATTATAAATTTAATAATAAAACATTACAGCAAGATTGTTATCTTGAATTTCAATTACATTTCAAAAATTGTTCCAAAAATATTTGTATTTATTCCATGATATAAATAGTTGATTAAAATATGTCTTCATTGTATGATATTTTAATAAAATAAATTTTTAGAAATTTTTAAAATAATGACTGAAAAATTTTAATCTTTAACACGTTTTTTATTTAAATAATCATCCTTGTCAATCAGAAAAATTATTATCTAGTATTTATTCTAATTTATTCTTCACCATTTTTCTAATTTTTTTTTTCTCATATTTTTAATTTTTAGATCTTTGATTTTCTAAAATAGAATAATAAAAGTTAATAAAATTTTTGTAACAAAGCGCGATAATTAAAAATTTTTTAAAAAATATATTTAGATTTATTAAATTATATTTATATTATATTATATATGTATATATAATATTACTATATATTATAAACAATATTTTATTAATTGAAAAATATTAGAATTAATTTAGGAACGTATAAATAGAATTATAAATTATTAATATATATTCAGATTTTAATGCATAACTTTCAATTGATACTTAAATAAAAAGATTAAAAACAAAATGTATAAAAATATAACGATATAAAAATAAGATATCGGTTATTTTCTGTCAATATGCAATGTAATAAATCTTGTTAATATAATGCAATCTAATAAAAATTATAATATCGTATATTGACACAAGAATTTATTTAAAAATTCGAAAAAATATATACAATTCACCACTTTCACTATTTTACACAATTTTTGAACGAGTTTCATTTAAATTTCATTATAAATTACATTTTATTATTACGTTAAAAGCACAATCAATAAATAAGAGAAAATAGATGTTTACTTCTCCGAAGCGAAGATTAATGTAAAAAGCCATAATGTTAAAAGCACGTTATATAGAGAAAATCCCTTTCACTAAACTGTTGGCCAACATTGACGACAACGCTGTTTAAATGTTGAAGAAGTTCTGCTTATGTGCAGAATCAAGACGTGAAATATTAATTATATATGTGTATAACAAATATATTTCACAAGTTGTTAAAAAAATAATCGTAATTTGCTTTATATTATTCATAGATTAATGAGTAAAAAATTTTTATGAGTTTCATTATAAATAAATGTTATAAGTAATTATATTATTTTCTCAAAAAAAAATTAATAATCATATATAATAATCATAGTTAATCATATAATCGTTATTATCTTCCATTATTAGTCATTTTCTTCTATTATTGTAATCGATATAATTGAATTTTAAAACATGTAAAAAACTCATAAAATATATAAAAAATAAGGATTCTTTGATTTATATTATATTATACTTGTAGAAGGAATATACATATGTTTTTATAAATAATTGAATTTTTAAAAATGATAATTCTGTACGTTCAAAAAAATTAGAAAATGTTTTTCGACAATTTTGTGAAAATTTTTATATTGATAACGTAAAAAAAAATATAGAAAAATAAACTTAAAAATATAATATAATATAATATATTATAAAGCTATAATGTTATTAAAAAAAAATTAATAAGAAAATCAATTTAAATAATTTAAATAATATATTAGATAAATTTATTTAATAAATATTGAATGATAAAACGATATTTAACTATTTAAATTAATTTTTCTTTTATATTTTATTTAATATGACAATTGTAACTTCAATAAAATAGTATTATCCTATAAAACTACCACTTATTATCTATTCCATTCATGGTCAAATACATTCAATTTTATTCACCTATACAATTTTATTTCCTTCATATTTAAAACACATTCGAAAATAAAATGAGTATCGATACAAGTCGATATTTGTCGATAGTTATTATTGAAAACAATATAATTCAATTATAATTCCTTCGCACAATCTGAAAATAAAATTTCTTCTCTAATTCATTCCTAGTTCAGTAATTACTTTTATACTATTTCGGAAGCTCGTACGTTCTCCAAGCTGACCACTTTTATGGACGCATTAACGCTCACGAATTTTCTCACGAAACTAACCCCTCTTACATAGCCGAACCCTGAAATTGCATTTGATAAAATGAAATAGCGCAGTAGTGAATATATTAAAATTAGAAGCTGAAAATATTCACTGACCTTTAAGAATGAGGTCCCGTGGTCATCTCAAGGTAGATCATCGACCGTGAGAAGTTCTCTTCTCCAACCTCCCCCACTCTATCCCTTTACCATCACCCCCATTTTCCCCCACTTCTACTCTCAACAGCTAGTATCATACATCGCTGTGACACACTTCTGACTGGAATTTTTTTCAAACGTGTTCCATACTTCAGGGTTCAACGATCCATCCAACAGTATGATCTGTTACTTGGTAAGCACTGCTAGTAGGACACTAGTCTCGATAGCACTTGAAACGTGTACAAGGGCTGCTTCGAAGATAATGCCTGTGCTCTTCCTTCTTACTGGCCCACCAATTCTCAGATTATTGCTTATCATTTAAAAAAAATTATACAATAGTATATAATAAAATTTTAATATTACATACATAATATGTTATTTAATGTTATTTATTAATATAATTACGCATTTATTGTTAGTATGATAGCTTAAGCATCAAAATGTAATAATCAAATGGTAAATATTCGTTGCAAAATAAATTATTACATTGGAAAGTTTTAAAAAAATTAAAGTGAAAATTAACATTTTTGACAACTTTCACTAGTTGCATTCAGATATAACTGTTAATTTGTGCGAATTATATTATCATTTGACTTGACTAAGTTTCGCTTTTCTAAATTTCAAGAATAATGTTTCGATATAATTAAATATTATGTAAGTGAGAAAAATGTACACAGTAATAATATACATATACAAAGATATTTTAAAAAAATAAATATTCTTTGTAAATTGAACATTTATTTTTATGCATATAAATAAAATTGTATGAAAATTTAAGTATTAACGTTATTATAATTATTGAAAACTTAAATTTTATTATATTTTCCTTCTTTTTTTATTTCTGTCTCTGTTAAATTAAATTAATTAAATAATAAATATAGAAAATTTACAATATATATTAAAGTCATTTATTTTGTAATAGAAAAATTAAAAAGTTTAAAACAAATGAAATTATTTTTAATGATATTGAATTTTAAATAAAATAATTTCTGAAGTCAAACTATAACTATTTTTCATTTAAAAGTTTTTTTATTTTAAAATTAAAAATTAAAGGATATTAATTAAAGTTTAACGTTTATTTAAAAAATTTTAATATAACAAATAATTGATATATTTATAATCATCATTATTTATAAAAATTTATTATATTTATTTCTTTGAATATATTTATATTATTTATTTATATCTGATTTATAAAAATGTAATCTAATATTTTTTAAACATATAATATTAAACAATATTTTATATATATTTAATATTTTTTACTATCGATATTATAAAATATTATTAAAAAAATATTATAATTTTATAACATATAAATCAAACGAATTAGAATATATTGGAATTACTTACATAGTTTACAATTTTTTTATATATAATTTATGGAAATTATAGTAAAACAGAAAGCAACAAAAACTAAAAGTGTTTACATAAAATAGTATTCATATATGAATGAAACGAACTTAAACATTTTCGTTTACATTTTGGTTTCACTGACCTTTTTATATTTGCAGGTCAACCATTAAAAACGCTTTCATTTATTCGAAAATTTCGAATGGAATATCGATTATTTCGTTCCACTTACTTTCTCTCTCACATTCGTACGACACCATTATTTAAGGTAAACTTGTACAACCATTTCTCGTAAGTCGTGTTCTCTTTTCATATTTTGTAAAGTAGGTTTCTCATTTTACGCGAGAGTTCCTCTCGCATATGCGGTCACATGCACGCAAAAAATTTGGAATTCAAGAATCTAAGATGTGAAACCGGATTTTTACGAAAGAAGTACCTCCATTTACAGAAAGGAACTAACGATGTTTTAAAAAAAAGTAAAGCACGTATAGAAAAAGAGAACGATATGATTATTTTTCTCTCAAGTTACGAGAACGAAGACGAAGAAATGAAAAAAAAAAAAAGAAACAAAAAGTAATGAAAAAACAAATTTAATTACGCATTCGATAAAAAACATTGATCTAAATTTATTTATTTATTCATTTAAGCAAAAAAAAAATTACTTAACATCTTTCAAACTTGTTTGAAACGAGCGTATATTTACTCGTATACACGCGATAACGGATACAGGAAGTGAAAGAAAGTGCGCGTAGAGCGTACGCGATTGGAAATGTAGGATAATGATGATAATTCAAAATGTAAAAAAATGTCTATTGTCAAGCGTGACCTATTGAATTTTCGTTAGACACTTCCTATCTCACTAATTACGTATAGAAAGACAAAATAAAGCGGATTTTTCAAAATATATGTATCAGAAGGAAATTGAAATTTTTCGGAGAAACCAGAGAAGTGGGAGATGAGAATGAGGAATTGATGAGATGCCAGGAAGAAAGAAAGAGAGAGAGAGAGAGAGAGAGAGAGAGAGAAGAGGAGCGTAGAACGAAGAGAAGAGAAGAGAAGAGAAGAGAAGAGAGAGAGAGAGAAGAGAAAAGAAGAGAAGGGGCCAGAATGACACCGTTCGTGTGTTACTCATTGTTTTGTCGAAAGTGGTAGTAGTAGGACGCAATGGTGTTAACCACGTATTTATTAAACGACGAAGGAGTAGTGGTGGCCGTTCTAGAACGTCAGATGCTAGCGACGAAGGAAGTGGCTTTCATTAGTAGTGGTGGAGGTGGTGGTAGTGAACGCGCGGCACACTTCGCGCTTCTCTTTGTAAATTCTCACAGTATCACGCACCACGGGTTACTCTCGCAGGTGAAACAAACTGTTCGGTTCCGCGTATCATCCGCGGCCAATTATTATTCCTTTTTCTTTCTTTTTTTTTTTTTTTTTTTTCTGATGATTCTGCTCTGTGCAACCGTGTTCGTTGGAAAATAGAACGTCCAATGTGTTCAACCGCGAAAGACGGCCTCGGCCTTGCTACTGTTACCAGTGTACTATGCCATTGAGAAGATCCGTCTGAACGAACGAAGAATCAGATTTCTCTTCGCGACCTTTTCCGTTGCTCCACGTGCTTCGCATCCTTTGGATATTTTCGCAACGTTTTACGTGTTTACGTGTTTCATCGGCTCAATTCAGTTCCTCCACTGTTTTCCCGCATAATTCGCAAATCAGGTAATTTATTCTTCTTTCGAGAAAAACTTGTTTGTTATCTTTCTTGTTATATTTATTTATTTTATCATTTGATTAACGCTTGCACAATGTATTAATCTTTTGCTTTTTGTGTTATTAAATAGAAATGTCGTGGTGCAATCGTTGATCTTGTTATTCGATTATTCTTATTAAATCTATTTGATTTAAACATGGCGCGGTTAAGGAACACATTTGTTCAGAGGAGAAAATATAAAGCGTTATATAGCAAACGTGTTTTAAAGGTGTAGCTGAAAGTTAGTTAAATTGAAATGCAAGAATACAATTCTATTTTCTAAATATTTTATATTATATTTTTTGATAGTTTTTTTTATTAAGAATTTAATAAGAATATATTTTATTATATATAATAAAATATTATTAATAGGATATATTTTAGATAATATAAAAAATTTATTAATTATATAAAGTTAATTATATAAAAATAATGAAAAATATATTTATAAAAGAATTATATTTAATAATATTTTTGTTATTTTCATGTTTCACATTGTACAATAATTAGAATAATATATTAAACAATGATTTTAATAGATTATAATATAGAAGATAAGATATTGGATATTGTTATTTTGTTATACATATATCTTATATTATTAAATTATTTTAAAAAAG